ATTCGTACACAAGGCATATCTGGGTGGCCTTGTAAGGTCATATTGGCCATGAGTCACAATGTGATAAGGCGGGCTGCTCGATCGGGTGCCGCAACGCCCTTTTGCTGACTCACTCCGCGCAACCCAACCCTTTACGGACGGACCTTGTTCGAACGAGCTTTCAACGTGCCAATCGTAGCTAGACCTCTACATTGTGCCTGGAATTATTCCAAGCGGCGATGTTGTTGAGAGCAGGCTGTTCGTCGCTACCGTAATACGATCGTCGCAGGATCCACAACATGACCATGTCGCTACCAAAGTTGATCTGGATACGATGTGAAAATACTGTGACTCGACCGACCAGTGCTTCTACAAGACACATATAAGAGTCTCGTACCAACAGATCAGCATAACGAACCGAGCGATACAGTCCATATCAATACCACCAAAGCTGCACTTACCTCAAGAGTAACAACAAACTTCTGGGAATTAATCGCAACCGATCACAACCAACATACCGTTCTCCCTTGAATACGAACATCAACTCGGACAGTGCAAGGTCCCCTCAATGTCTACCACTACCGACAAGTCCGAGCAAGCTGTCGCTTACGCCGCCTTGATCCTCGCTGACGAAAGCATCGCCATAACACCAGAAAAGCTCCAGACACTGCTCAAGGCTGCTGGTCTCGAGGACGTGGAGCCGATTTGGACCACACTCTTCGCCAACGCACTCAAGGACAAGAACGTCAAGGAAGTCTTGACCGCGGTCACGGCTGCGCCAGCCGGCCGCAACACCGTTGCCGATACCAAGGAAGATGGCAAGGTGTCTGGAGAGAATGGAAACGAAGAGAGAGACGGAGATGAAGGCATCGACATCGACGCAGATTCGGACGACGGTTCTGCCTTTGGTGACCTATTCGGCTAAGGAAACGGCAGCAGGGACAATGCAAATGATACAAGGCGGTGTACATTTTGCTCCATCATGGGCTCGGAGGATTACGAGAGTTTTGAGATACCACGTTAGATGTGATACAAACAAGGGAATCTTTCTCTCGACGAATTGGTCGCTTCTCCGGTGCTAGTGATGGGCTGTGCCACGCGTGACGTACCATGCTTATTGAATACTCATCATGAGTCTGGCGCAGCGCGCCGACGGATTAACACCGCATTCCATTCCGGGGCTCGGTTTCGGTCTCGCAGTACCACGATGACCATGACGCAGAGGGATGGGATACTAGCGGAAACTTGAAAGAAACCATGCGTTACTTGGCTGTTGTGTCTGGCCCTGAAAGAAGACTTGCCAAGGTCTCAGTGCTGGGAGTGGAGATGCCTCCGTCTTAAATCCGACAGCGCGGTCAGCCGTCGATCACCAAGACAGCTAATTCGTGTTGCCAAGACTGAGACATTGGAAACAGAACGTCGGCGGCGATTTGAACAGAGTATGGTCAGGACGGAAGAAGGTGTTCGGCTGAGTAGGCTTCCCTTGCCTGTAGATGCTACCGGCACATCCCAGATAAAGGTATACTTGCTCGGCCTACCTGTCCTGTAGACCTTACGTTGCGCCTCAACGCCCGATATTCTTCCGATGAATGGCATACGTTCGATCATCGCTTTCCGCGTACATTCCCGGCAGGACGCTATCCGACCCGAAAGCCATACCCAAGGAATTTCTCACCCCGCAAAAGCTTGGTAACGGTTGACTCGGAATCATACGACTAGGTTCAAATTGCTCAAGACCGTTGGATCGGTGCAGGCACTGTGACGAGGGTTGACGAGAAGTATGGTAGCGTCATTAGAGACTCACTACTTTTCGATACGGTGAACGCGAGGGTGCTGGCCTACGGAAGTATCGCGGAGCTCTTGTATAAATAATGCATACGATCGAAGAGCGTTTTGTGAACTGCCTCGACACGATGCCGCATGGGGTGATAACGACAATAGGTGACTATCCTATAGCCCAGATCTTAACTGAAGCGTACCGGTTCTTTCCTTGATCGATCGACTTTGAGATCAAACACATCCAGTCGCTGATACCCACCTACGACATCGTGATATTGTTTTCCCTCAATGCAGTCGTCCAGGCTCATGTCGGCATACAATATACCTTCTTGATCTTGTAAAGCGTGCACGTACTCTTTTTCCGCGTCCCGGTAGGTAAAGCTACGCAACGGAGCGCCAGTGGGATCCAGGAAGAAGGTCGCAGCTCGGGGCATAGCGCGTAAAGTGTCGGCCACGACATCCGGCTGGCTTGCCCCGTCGATGATAGTCTTGATAGCGTCTTCAGCGAGATGGCCAGAGCACGCTACACCAAAACACTTCGCTTCGAAGCAATGTGCTGCGGCGCGGGTCTTGTTCGCCGCTAGATTGTCGTAATTCGTCTCACGCGCAACGCTTGGACTAGATTGCTCATTACTATCGTCGGTGGATTGCGCGGTGTGTGAAGTTCTTGTCGGCCAAATTGCGGGCCAGGTCGAAATATGTACCTAACTCCGTAAGGCTCGAGCGCGATGGACAGAATGAGAATCACGCACCTGCTCAGCCTGCGCAATCAACGAGTACCTTGCAAGCGCATTAGTGTTCTCGCCACAAATCAATGTGCCGATGCGACCGAATTGCGTGTCAGCCACACGCAGCCCATGGCCGTCACCGCTACTCCACGTAAGCTTCTCGAAGAAGGTAGGGACCAGCTTGCGATGGTGGACGAGGACTTCTCCTTCCTTCCCGATGAAGATGTTCGAGTTGTATAGGCAGCCGTTACTGTGCCGGGATCGTTCGCTGAAGCCGATGCTTACAAGGACGTTATTCGATCGCGCCGCTTCACGTACCGCCTCCATTTCATCACCATCAGCATAGATAGACTCCTGTACCATGCGCTGGAAGAGTGTATGGTTTTCCGAGGGCGCACGTAGAGCACTCCATATCGGAAAAGCAGAGATGTAGGTCTCGGGAAACACTACAAGGTTGGCCTTATTGGATCCCGCTTGCTTGATGAGTGATATGGCTTTATCGGTTGTTCGGCGTGCATTTAGAAAGATCGGCGATACATGGCATGCTGCCACGCGCAGAACGTTTGCCATGATGGACGGCTGGTCGTGGTCGCGAGCGAAATAAGAGTATAGTGTTCTTGACTGAGCGCCTGACCCCGCGTCTTCGGCGACTCCCCCGCACCTCTTGGAACCTTACACCCTGTCGACATTGCCGTCGTAAAGCTCTTCAACTTTGCACTAGTGGATACGACAATTCCTCCGATTATTCAATAACTTAAGCATTGCTGCGCCTTGAAGTATACATCGAGGCCGGCGCTACCGAGGTACCATTGAGTGTCACTGCATGGAAGGGTGTCAGACATGACTATGACGATAGCGTCGTGTAGAACTCCCATTGAACACCCTGGTAGCCTATATCAGTGCCAAGCCGAGTGAAACCAAGATACTTAACCGTTTAGCATGAGCTGTCAAATTCTTCTCGTGGATACCTGGGTAGTCGTCGCGTCACTAGTCGGCTCTTTGCGATTGCTTTCTTGACGCAATCTCCCCTGTATCGAACTCATCAGAGAAGCGGGCTCCAGCACCTGGATATGTGCATGTCCTCCTATTCAGGCTACGTCAACACGGTCTTCCGCAGAAAGTGATAACGGGAGGCGGAGATCCGCCATATTCGCATTCGTGGATGTTCCTTCCCTTGCGGACGCTGCCGTGTCGACACCGGTCCTTCCGACTAGTCGTGTGAATTAGCTCCGGCACTCAACGGTGGCTTAGGAGATTCGTGGTCGGTGTAGACAGAACAAATATCGGACACAACCTTGGAATGGCGTCGTGACCGTTACGCGCTACAGCACTAGCGCGTTCGCGTCGCCCACCTGTCAACTGGTTTCAAACTGTTTGGGCCACTGTTCCATCCTTCATCGTTCCTTGTCATCACGACTACCCCACTCGTGCATGTAGTCGCACGAAAATTTGACTGAACAGCAATCTAGAGCACTGTGCGACCGCGACGATACGCAAAAGTTTGTATTATAGCGCACTAGAGTCCATGTGTGCCCTCGGAGGTGCGATCCGATGGGGTAGGACCTTCCTTCAAATTTCAATACAGAAAAACAGCTAAGATACCAAGACAACGAGTATCGTTTAGGAAGTCCAATATGCGCATGGCTCATTCTAGTTCGTTGTTGTATGATCCCTCTGTGGCGATAACACATTCGCCTGTTCCAGTCATGCCGAGTAACAGCAAAGCCGCCAACGACATCACCACGCGTACCAAAGAACGTAGTGGAGGCGCAGCGGAATGATGTTTTGCTGGCTTTGTCATCGAGCCCATAGAGCGGAATTCGTTTCACACAAGCCGGTGGGATAAGTGATGTTCCAGGTCCGGCAATGTGCCGAGCTACCTAGGAATCCCACGGCTGTGACCGAAAGCCACCTTCCACGTTTCGGTCTTGTCCCGGTACCTCAATTTCAGGAACTGTGCAGCCATTACCAATGTCCTGACCAATCAAGCTACCACAACAACACCGATGGATTCGAAATTCCGCGGTGGGTCACCCGCGTGCCTGGACTGACAATCCTGACATGAACCACATCGGCCCGATGCAGCTACTGTGCCCAGTGCGTGCAATTCATGCTAAACAACAACCTGGTCGCAACCGCCTCTGGTGCTCTTGGCAACGCAGCAGGAGATAACCGTGCTCCACTCTGGACGTCTTGACAGGCTTGTTTATCAGATGAAGGGCCTTCACGGCCCTACTCCGATGACGCAAATGGTTTCGAAACCCAGTTTGGTAAGTAACGCCATGTGCGCTCTGGTTTTGCACAGATGGTGTACAGGCAAGGATTGGATGGCATGCAGGATTTTATCCCCAGAGTGGTTACATGCAAACTAGGCGCCGTCTTGCCCAGGTGCTGCTCCAATGTATGCCAGGCTTGACTGACGAAGTATAAGAGTCTTGGGAGCGTCCACCCGACTATCATTCACCCACAGTCGATCTTTTCTCCTCTCAGATACTATACCAGCAGTCGCTCAAGATGCGTTACTCACTCCTCGCTTTCGCTACTTGCGCTCTCGCAGCCCGGCCTTTCCTGAACGAACCAGACACTGGTATCGATGACCAGTTGGCTGGGTTCGTCGCCAATGGAACTCTGCCTCCTCTCAGCTCCCTGGTTGGTCTGCCAGACTTCCAGTGGGTTGGTCGTCAACACATGAACACCTCAGCCTACACATACTACCGCAACGGAGCGGCTGGCGAATGGTCGTACCGCAACAACCTAGAAGTCTTCTCCCGGTACCGATTGAGACCACGCGTCCTGCGTGACATTACCAACATCGAAGCTTCCATGCCCACGACCATCCTTGGCCACAACTTCTCAGCGCCGTTCTTCATCTCACCGTGTGCGCGTGGCGGATACGCCAACGAAGATGGCGAGCTTGGTCTTGTTAAGGGTGCTGGCGAGGGTAACATCCTCTACATGACCTCCCTCTACTCGTCGAAGAGCCTAGAGGATATCTACGCTGCTCGTCCCAACGGTTCAGAACAAGTCCTGTTCCAACAAGTATACCTTGATGGTGACATGAACGACACACAAGTTCTCTTCAAGAGGATCGAGAGCCTTGGTGCGAAGGCTATTGTCCTGACCGTCGACTCGCCCGGTGACGGTGTCAGGCACCGTGCTGCACGTTACGGTGTTGGTTCCGCAGACGTCAACCTGAGCCTTCTGACCTGGGATCTGTTCCAGCAGCTGTCCAACATGACCTCCCTGCCTATCATCCCCAAGGGTATCCAGACTGTTGAAGACGCCCGCGAAGCCGTCAAGCAGGGCGCAAAGGCCATCTTCCTCTCCAACCACGGCGGCCGCCAAACCGACACTTCGCCATCATCTCTTGAAGTCGCTCTGGAAATCTACAACGAAGACCCCGAGATCTTCCAGCAGATCGAAGTTTACGCCGACGGCGGTATCCGCTACGGAACTGATGTTCTCAAGCTCCTTTCTTTGGGTGTCAAGGCTGTCGGTCTGGGAAGGCCCTTCATGTACGCCAACATCTATGGTGCTGAGGGTGTCGCAAGGGCGACCGAGATGCTCAAGTACGAGCTCATCAACGACGCAGCCAACATCGGTGTAGCAGACCTGAAGAAGATTGGGCCTGAGCTGGTTAACTGGAAGACTCCTGCTGTCAGCTTCAGCGTTTAAACGGCGATGATAGCCGTCTCTTGCTGCGCAAGAACTCAGATACCCATTTCCTTTCATTCCATTACATGTACATACTTTTCATCCACAATTTATCAAGAATTTTCTGCAACCTCAAGTTTGCCATTGCGATCTGCTGTCTAATCTTGCGTTTCTGAGGCTGTCAAGATCTAGAACGGTCGCCTAATATGAATCGTGTGGGGCGTACTGATTGAAATTGATGTCTTCATCAAAGGACACGTCGGCAGGATGAACATAACTTACGGTTGCTTTGTGGTTTGAGACATCGTTCCTGACGCGTAGAAACACTCCTAGCCAAAAACACGTTAGCCACTAGCGCGACACGCTCCTTCCCACGGTGCGGTCTTCCGGCTTCTGGCATCTCTGCAACCCACAACGTCATTGATCTATATCATGTCCATCGAACTAAGAGCGCAGGGCTGCCTCTAACAATTCTCAGTAGTTTACACTACGACAAGAGCGTGTTCAGGGTTTCTGGCCTCGTCATAACTGTGACCCGCTCATCCGATACCTTATCGCACGCCTTATCAGCAACGTATAGGGCGCATAACGATGACCATGACGATGCGATGCCACTTCAGCCCTCTTGTTGGTGATGCCACGCTCGATCGAGCTATCTTTAGGTAATCAAATCTTCGACGCTAGACATTGAAAGGCAGGTGTATGCCGGAAGCAACAACGTCGTACACTAACGTTTTTCTTCGTGCATCACGTATGCCTTCAACAACGAAGGTCCTACCTCAAGACTGTTCCCTCATCAATCCTAGTTGAGCAAAGTTGCTGCTATATCGTGTGTTGAACATCGAACATCCACCATCGATCCGACTCGGGCAGGTCGCAATAAGACGAACCAAGCCATGGTGCATGCGACCACGGACCAGGAGTCACAAGCGACGGCTAAACCTCTGACCCAAGATGCCGCTGTCAATGACCGAATGAACAACTCTGTCGGATCACATGGCAACGATGTAGTCATCAGCTACCGTGGTGGTATCATCGAGAACACGCACGATGTACACGCTGCCGTTGTTGACGCATCTGGCAAACTCATCTACACAATTGGCAACCATCAGAGGATGACACTGGCACGATCTTCTACGAAACCGATCCAAACACTCGCCATTCTGGAAACCGGGGCTGCAGAACGATTCAACTACGACGATGCCGATGTAGCACTCATGTGTGCTTCACACAGTAGCGAATCGCGACACGTTGAACGAGCACGTGCGATGCTGGAGAAGACGGGAGAAAAGGAAGAGATTCTTACATGCGGCGGACACCCAGCTCAGAACCCCGTGGTCAATCGTGCATGGATCAAAAAAGACTATACGCCAACTGCCCTCGACAACAACTGCTCTGGGAAACATGCTGGTATGGTAGCAGGCGCTCTATCTCTGGGCGCTTCGGCTCACGACTACTATTTTCCCGGAAATCCAATGCAGCAACGCGTATACCGAGCCGTAGAAGACCTGAGCGGGCTTGGAGAAAACGAAGTGCTTTGGACTGTGGATGGATGTAACCTTCCAACCCCGGCAATGCCTCTTCCAAACTTTGCGCTCATGTTCGCAAGACTTGCTGATGCCGCTGATTGCTTCGACAACACGAAGACGAAACCAGTCGATCAACGAACGCAACATTTAGCTCGTATTCATAAATCGATGGCTGGTTACCATGGACTGGTCGCTGGTGAAGGTCGATTCGATACGGCGCTCATGGCAGCCTATGGTGGACAAATCGTGGGAAAGATTGGAGCAGACGCCTGTTATGGCGTCGCTGTCCGCGCACCAAACGACGCTGACATGACTGAGGCAAGTCACGGCGCTATTGGCATCGCTGTCAAGGTTGAAGATGGCAATCTCGATGTCCTGTATGCTGCCGTCATAGAGATTCTAGAGCGACTGAAGATTGGCACGAGTCAAGTGAGACAGTCATTGGACGGTTGGCGATTTCCGAAGATCGTCAACACTGCTGGGGCTGTTACGGGTGGTTACAAGCATTGCTTCAAGGTGCGAAATGTGGCGTAGCAGCAGCTGACTTAGGAGCGTGTCGGCAAGGCAACGTCTTTGCAGTCTGCTCGGAAGGTGCTCGTTTTCACATGCCTTGAGTCCAATAGAGTGAACCGACAGGCTTTCGCGGTTCTTTATCGCACAAACAAGCTCTTCATGTCCACGGACGCAATTGGAGGCTACTTTTAGGTAGGGTGAAGTCTATTTCTATCGAGCTTTGTTTGGTTCATCTATACGTACATAAGAATTCCTCTATTCCCCTGACCTGAGTCTAGAAACCTGTAACCATTACAAACCGAGATGAGCGTGGGTAGAACCCTTCAATTCCTTGCCGTAGAGCTGATTGGTTCAACACTGAACCATTCCAGTAGCCGCTTTGTGAATGGTACCATGATGCCAAGGAATTCTTTTAGTTTCATGTCCAATCCACCCCAGCTAATCATTTTCAAAAGTACAAAGGCCACTTCTTTGCAGAAATTGGCCGTAGTGGATTCAAGCTCCTTGGAAGCAGGTTTTTCGAACCACTTTACGATCTCCTGGCGCTTTCTTTGCCGAAGCAATCGTGCTTCTTCTCTGATGGGCGACAGCAATTCCCTGAAGCTCGCCTTTATTGTATCCTCGTCGCCCTCCAGGCCGGTCATCTCGCGGAATTCGACAAGTGTCTTGACACATCCCAACCATCTGTCTAGAGCAATCTTGTGCTTATCGTAGGAGCCTCCAAGGTTTTCACGGAGGCCCTGAGCATCATTGATGACTATGGTGTCGATAAGCCCGGTCATCCGCTTGATAGCAGTAAGGCTGTGGCATCCCGGGTTGCGCGGCGATAAAAGATCATGAAGACATATGCTCAGCTCATTTCGGTCAGCCTTAAGCTGAGTCACCAATAGGTTCATATTTGTGTCAGCATTGCTCTGAACCGACCGCTCACTATGAGTTCCTGTTCTTGTGCGGCGCGGAGTCGTGCGGCATGGAGTTGTCAATCGCAGGGTCTCCCTAGCCGATCCTTTTCTTCCACTCCGTGCAGAACGTGGCACTGTTTTTCCCTTGTCTAGCGGTTGACTTCGTGTTCTACTGGTCGTCTTGGATGGCTCAGTATGCTGGGGTTTTCGTGCGGGTATCACAACCGCGACAGCAGTCTGCTTCTTCTGCCGTTTTGCTGAAGTATGCCGTACATCATGGGATTTTCTTGATCTTTGTGACTGTGGTTTACAAGCAGCATCAAGTTGTACAGCGTGTTTGAATCCAACCGGGGGCTTGGCTGGGTCTTCGAAACCCAACACATTGAGCTCATCGGAGCTTTCAGAGCTATATGACGAAGCCAAGATGGTACTGTGAGTACGCTTAGCCGATTTCACACGGATTGCCTCTATGAAGCTAGAAAAATCTGTTGATGACTTCATGACTTCTTTTTGGGGAGTCTTTCCTTCACGACGGTCATATTCGGCCTTCCGACAAGCGCGCTGGACAGTCCAAGCAGACACTAGCAGCCTTATTCTGCAATGAATGATGTTAGAATCTATAAACGATGATAGCTTAGATTAACATACTTGCGTGCATCACTTGGATGTTCGTAGATCAGGTGCCTTAGATACTTGTCCTCTGCAACCTGAGCATGCCCCTTGATTTTGGAAGGTGTGGTTGTTGTATCGAGAGAAAGAACGAAGTATAGCTCTCTTCCGTTGTTCCAGATTTTCGGACCGTAGCCGACGAGACAGTCTCTTGCGATTTCGTCGAGACAGATGTCCCGTCGTCTAAGTGCCTCGCGTATGGCCTTCCTTGAGTTGTATGTCGCCGCGATCGCATTGGCTTTCAAGTTTGTCGCTTCCCACAAGTCGTCAAGTTCAGGTATTGAAAATTTCGGCTTGCCTGGTTTGTTCGGGTTCTTGATTTCTTTCTCCAGTCCCAGGCGGGATAAGTATAATCCAGCCTTGGTCGTTCCATTGGTGCACTCCTCGATCAGAGAATCACCTGCCGACATTATATAGTTGTAGCAATATCTTGTTGCTTCTAGTTTCATATGTTAGTCAGATAACGCTTTCTCCGCTTGTGCACAGACTGGCAGTTACCACCAAGATAGAGGAAGATCTACCTTTCGTTTCCACCGCTTCTATTGACGCCAAGTTGTATTGAGAACAACATAGATCAGGAAGACAAAACAGGTACTGTATGGTAAAACATTGATTGGGGTAAGTTCTAGCGTGTGCTGCAAGGCTGATGTACAAAAAAGAAGTTATCTCCAATGACTTATAAGGACATAACGAAAGCCCCAGGCTGTAACGCCTTGCATGCCAAGAAGGGCCGTTAGGTATTTACACCGAAAGGCCCGGAGGCACCCTGACGAGGTGGTCGAGGCATACACAAACCTTAGAGGTTTCTCACTCTCTAGTCGTATGACCCACTTCCCCAGTCACTTCCAATGATCGGTGTAAGCGGTGCTGCCATAGCTACTCCCAGGGCAAGCTTGTACCACACATCCTAGCACGAACCCTTTTGCTTCGAGTCTTGAGCCGTTTAGGTGGAGGAAGTGGGTACTTAGCTGAGAGGTCTAATCTCGGGGAACGCTGCCTACCAAAGAGATACGGGAAACACATTACGGTCAAGAGGTCCTCCAAATCCACATACTGCGGAGCGATACTGATTGAAATGACGTTGAGCTGCAACAAAGTGGCCGTGCACTGCGCATCAGACCCAAGCCTGGTCTAAGAACCTCTTCCCCCTGCCACGTGGAGTCCCTGTCGTTCCTTGCAGTGTTTCCCATCTTCGCTTGACAGTCGATGAATCTACGGAAGTTCGGCTGCTCTATATGCATGTTGGCTACGCCGTGCGGGTGTGCTCAGGACGCTGCGGCATTCCCATGCCTTCGGTATGATTTGACAAACCGTCGGGACTCGCTGTATCCTGAGTAGACACTTCAAGTTGGGAACTGTGGATGATTCTTGCACCAGAGCAAGGAGTAAGCTACCTAGATACTTCGCAGAAGCTACCTCAAAAGCGAGTTAGGAAAGTAAGGTAGAACAGGCAGCAATGTGGGCAAGGCTGACTCCTTGGAAGAAGGAAAAAGCAAAGAAAATACGAGTCGTTAGCTCACGTACACGGTGCCACCCGAGCGCGGTAGCATGGCATGTCGAAATGAGACTGCAGGTGTGATGGAAGGGGAATCACGGGCATCCCTCAATCACACACTAGCTAATGAAATTGCGGGATAAGACGGCCGTTGCGACCACCGGTGAGACTCTGGAGTTGCTCCCTGAGACTGCATGTGGCTGAGACGATCACCACCAAGCTAACCATACCAGCTCTAGAGGCAACCACGCCGCAATCCTTCACCCTGACCCAGCCGGTCGATCAACCAACAATATCTGACGGCCCCTTTCCTTCGGCATGTTTTGCAACTCGGGTCGGCTTATTGAATAACACCCTGTTGGCGGCACATATTGCCGGGGCCGAGCAGAGATAGTGAAATCAGGAACGAGACTGCTCAATTTGGTGGCGTCGCAAGCGACCTGAGGATCCAAGACAGGAAGTTTTCGATTCGATCTCCGATGGAAATGAGGAGGTGAGCAAGCTTCATACCTCAGAGAATGCAGTAGATTCCAGTTGTGGGAGGCAATAATTGAGAAGTACGTTTACTTGCGCAGCCATGAATGTTCGTCCATCGAAGAAGATAGATAAGCTGCTATGACGAATTACTATTTATGGATATTCAGAAGGGTACTCTCAAGCCTACCACATCATCGAGCATACTATGATAAAGGTGTCTGATTGCCATTTGATGCGTCTGTCTCGTCAAACGAAGATGACCAATATCGCGAACACAAACATCGCGAACCCGAATATCGCGAACCCGACTGTTGTGAGTTTAACGCATAGATGGGCAAGCGAACGTGGTCGTTCGGAAGTTTCGTCTTTGCGGCCAGCCTGCGCCTGGCTAGTTGCGTTGGTTGTTTTCGGGGCAGGCTTCAGCTCCATCTTCTTATATGCACGGAAGATAATCCAGCAATAGACCAACATCTTAATTCTGTGGACGATATGTCAGCCGATGAAGCTTCTGGCTCGTCAATTACTAACAAGTTGCGATCGTTCTTGTTCCCGTATCTGAGGTGATTGGGATAATTGCCGTCCTTCGTGTCGATGGAAGTCACGAACGGCGTCCCGTCGCGGCCATTAGTCCAGATACCAGGGCCCCATTCCTTTAGACACGCTTCTATGTCCTCATCTTTGAAGCCTGGGGGCGAGTTTGCTATCTTTCGCTCGTTGTCAGCGAGTAAATCTGAAGTCTTTGCAAATTCTCCGCTTACCGTTTCTTTCAAATCTATATGTGATTTGTACTTGACCGCGATCTGGTCCACAACAGCTTGCGTAGCGTCGTGGAAGTCTCCAACTATGCCCGGGAACTTCGGGCGACCGCGATTGGTATCTGGTCTGGTTGAGCTTTTTCTAAAACCCAAACCGTTAGTGTAGGAAAACGCTCGAGCTTCGGGTGTGGTGGAATCGAGCAGTTGGCGCTCGAATTCCGACTTCGGACCGGTGTGCATCTCGGTTGGAGTTTGAGGAGATCTTTGATTTATAAAATGTAATTACTGTCTGACAGCAATGTCTTGACAAGTGTATAGAGCGCAGGCCTACTCAGTGTCCTGAAAAGGTGAATCGGGTCACACTGAGTCGCTCTAGCGACGCTGGTCTTCTGTTCAGGCCCAGAGTTTTCCCGATGTTGCGATCAGTCCACTTTGTGCGATGTTTCAACCAACCGAGCGTTTTGTCTTTACCGAACTCTCATTTGTAAGACATTTTAGACATTTAGATCATGAGGCGCACAAGGAAGAGAATCCTTACAGAGGCCAGAAGGCCAAAGTTGGGTGCAACTTAGAAACAACGACCTTCTTCGTATGTGGCAGCGTCGTACACGCAGAGGTCCTTATTGGCATGTCTCAGATGAACAAAGGAAGCCTCCAGATTGCACCATAGCAACAAGCCTGATGTCTCGGTAAGACACCACCAGCATGGTCCAGCTCATACTAGTCCTCGCCTGTTCAGAAACACTGGCGCTAGATCTTGCTGCCAAAGTAAGTTCCCATATAATGGCGCAGCGCCAGTCTCGGATACGTGCATTATTCCTCTTCTCTCCGCTGGTCGGTTTTGCGATGCGACGATAGTGAGAGGATGCGTGGAAAGCTGTGGAGGCTGGCGATGATGAGCACAAACGCGTGACGTCATGAACAGCCCCCCAGATCTAGTGAAGCTGTGACAAGAGTTTAGTCTTCGCAATGTATTCAAAATCAAACTTGTAAACAAGAGTACTGTGAGTACCCTCGAACTGAATCTTCCAAATTAAACAAACTGCCTTGAACGTCTGACTTCCTGTCAACGTCCATAACACGAAAAACAAAAGAAATATAGATTTTTGGACACTCTCTCAATCGCTCACCTTGCTCTGAAACATTCCATCTCTATACCATGGACTCAACCAGATCGCCCTCCTCTTGTTTGACTTTAATTCTTTTCTGCTTCGTGGTCACCTCCGTATCCCTCTCCTCGGCATTGTCTTTGGAGTTGAAGCGTGCGTTTATTCCAGCCATATCCCCAGACATGTGCCTCGGTCGCTTCCGAACACTTGCCGCTGGAATATTGAGGTACGGCGAGCCTTGAATAGCCTTGTTTGGAATGCCTAGTGGCTTCACATCGCCGTTGACAGGGCCAGGCTCGTAGTGTTTTGGGGGCGTGCGGCGCTCGAACTTGATGCGGCCGTTGCCGATAGAATCTTCCTGTTTCCGGACCGGTCGTGCCGAATAGGTGCCAACCTTACTGCCGATCGGGTAGCCTCTAGGGTCGATGACTCGTTCGTTCGTGGAAGGTGAGGGCGTGACCGGAATTGCACCACTCAGTGAGATCTTAGCGCTATCCTCAACCTCTTTTGCGTGCGCTCGTTCGGCTTCTTTCTTCACCCGTCGTTGAGAAGTCTGTTCCCCGCACGACGAGGCTGCACCACAAAACTCGTACCCTTCTGTCTTTCCACCACGTAGTGGCCCTTTGGCGTATGTGGTACAGGCAGTGTCTAGATAAGCCGGCCGGCCCCTATTAGGCCTGCTCGCCTTGATATTGCCGAGATTGTCAAAGTCGTATGGCCAAAACGTCTTCAATTCTTTCTCGTCGTAGAACTTCGAACTGTAAATAGCGTAACATGCTCGATCGTCTAGGTACACGTATTTTGGCGGTTCTCTTCTGCCTCGGAAGATTGGACTCGGGACGTCTCCCGCGAACAACTTCCAGGTTGGATGGCCTCTGACAGTCGTCTTGGAACGATCAATAAAGCTTTTGGTTGAATCACCATCACCATGGCCATTCACCCAGAGCACTCGCATTCTCTTCCCGTCTGAGATCATTGTGGGTGAGCTACCAGGTACAGTAGCTACCAAATCTCCAGCTTTGATGGCCATGTTGGTGCACGGATGGTGACTTGAAGAAAGAGATAATGCTGGTGCGTGGGCTTTCGCGCATCTGCACTCCTCGACTTACCGATTCTTACCCCAGAGATGACATGCACAGTCGGAGGAAAGTGAAGTAGAAGGAATGAACATTCGTGAGTAGACTTGATAGACTGGATGGAGAACTGATGAAAAGGAGTCAACGGATGGAAGGAGATAGTGGAGTGGAACAAAGGAAGAGTAGTGTAGTGAGACAGCCTGACTAAATAGACTACAAGGTGCCATACCGATAGCGGGGATGAGAGTCGGTGGCCACGTGGAGGTGAGGAGTACCCCATACTCACTGCCACGAGGCTGGAGAAGGATAGCAATACGTATCGATCGAGCAAGTACACCCTAAAGGTATACACCTACACAACTCTGCAAGAATTATTCTATGACCCATAGTAGATACCTTTAGGGTGCCATTTGATTTATATGGTGCACGTTATCCAAACAAGCCTCCTTGCATGGCGATAGTATGCCGCGATCGGATACCGGATCCGATTTCATTGTCCAATCCACAGCAGGTGAACATTGTGTACCCTCAAAACTGTGCCAGTCACTCCCAGTAAATCGTCAGTGAAATAGAGCAAGTCTGCCGGCAAATCGTAAAGGTCGTTGATGGTGGTGGTGGTCGAGTCGGACCTTCTGGCGGATTGATGTCAACGATGTTGCGCGGACCAATCAAAAACGCCAAGAAAAGGGTAGGTCATCCAGATTGAACTTCACGACCGCCACCACTTGCATCGCCAATAACCCACGCTCGCCGGACACCCGAGCATCAATTGCGCTCGACAACACACATACAGCAATCACGATGCTCGCACGACACGCACCTGCCTCGTCGACGCTCAGCGCGGCCGCCCACCGAGCGCTGCCCGCAGCTTCGGCAGCTACCCGCCTTTCGACTGCCGCCCCCCAGAACCGCACACAGAAGAGGACGCTCGCGACAGTACAGGATGCGCCACCAAAGAGGACGTACGGTGGCCTGAGGGACCAGGACAGGATCTTCCAGAACTTGTACGGACACCACGGTGCGGACTTGAAGAGCGCGCAGAAGTACGGTGACTGGCACAAGACGAAGGAGATCCTTCTCAAGGGTCATGAATGGGTGTGTAGAGGCATATGTACAGGGCACATGAATCAAGGCTGACGGATACAGATCATTTCTGAGATCAAGGCTTCCGGTCTCCGTGGCCGAGGTGGTGCTGGTTTCCCCTCTGGTCTGAAATGGGTATGCTATGCTATCGAATCAAATTCAATGAGACGGCTACTGACTTGCAAAGTCATTCATGAACTTCAAGGACTGGGACAAGGACACCAAGCCCCGTTACTTGGTCGTCAACGCCGATGAGGGAGAGCCCGGAACCTGCAAGGACCGCGAGATTATGCGCAAGGACCCCCACAAGCTCATTGAGGGCTGTCTCGTTGCTGGCCGTGCCATGAACGCTACCGCCGCCTACATCTACATCCGAGGAGAGTTCTACCACGAGGCTACTGTACTCCAGCGCGCTATCCAGGAGGCATACCAGGCCGGCCTGATCGGCAAGAACGCCTGCGGCTCTGGATACGACTTCGATGTCTACATCCACCGAGGAATGGGCGCCTACGTCTGTGGTGAAGAGACCTCGCTCATCGAGTCGCTAGAGGGCAAGCCCGGAAAGCCCCGCTTGAAGCCCCCGTTCCCCGCTGCCGTCGGTCTGTTCGGATGCCCTTCCACTGTCGCCAACGTCGAGACCATTGCCGTCGCACCCACAATTTGCCGCCGAGGAGGTAGCTGGTTCGCAGGCTTCGGTCGTGAGCGCAACCAGGGTACCAAGCTCTTCGCCATCTCCGGTCACGTCAACCACCCTTGCACTGTCGAGGAGGAGATGTCCATTCCTCTTCGCGAGCTCATCGACAAGCACTGCGGTGGTGTCAAGGGCGGCTGGGACAACCTCAAGGCTGTCATTCCCGGTGGCTCTTCGACCCCCATCCTTCCCAAGCACATCTGCGACGACCAGCTGATGGACTTTGACGCGCTCAAGGACTCGCAGTCTGGTTTCGGTACCGCTGCCGTTATCGTCATGGACAAGTCGACCGACGTTGTCCGCGCCATTACCCGTCTTGCCAAGTTCTACCACCACGAGTCTTGCGGCCAGTGCACACCTTGCCGTGAGGGATCAAAGTGGACCCATCAGATCATGGACCGCTTCTACAAGGGCCAGGCCCGCGAGCGTGAGATCGACATGCTCCAGGAGTTGACCAAGCAGGTTGAGGGCCACACCATCTGCGCGTTGGGCGAGGCTTTCGCATGGCCTCTCCAGGGTCTCATCAGGCATTTCAGGCCTGAGCTTGAGGCCAGGATAAAGGACTACGGCCTGAAGAACGGTGGTGAGGCGTTGGCGGGTGGATGGGCACACGATGCCGCCAAGAAGGGTCTTCTCGTCTCCCCTGGCCAGTAGAGAAGGAGCCGGGAGATTTGTACTATGCATATTTTCTGTGTTTGAGTTTTGATTTCGGCGTGCAATTACTTGAAGAGCTGAGCTGTAAATAGTTTCTCGGCGCAAATAAAGCAAGATTGAAATTGACCGCACATGTTGTCCCCCTGCGTGAAAGATCCTGCTACTCCGAAAACGCCTTGCAAAGTAAAGTACTAGAAACAGTGTCATTCGTGTTGTAAAAATCAAGTCCCCATGCAGATCTGGATAAACTCCTCCCTCGAGATGGCGTTATCATTGTCCATGTCAAACTCCTCAATCATAGCCACCAGCTCATCATGCGAAAGCGCCTCGCCCAACTCTCTCGCAACACGCGTGAGATCCTGCAGGGTAATCGTCCCCTTCCCACCCTCATCGAAGAGTTCAAATGCCCTAAGAATTTCGTCCCTCGGATCGCGACTCAATATCCTCTGTGCCATGAGCGTCTGGAAAGCCTGGAAACTCAACAACTGGCGACCAGGCGCGTACTGTTGCTGCTGTCTCGAACTCTGCTTAGCATTCTGCTGCTGCGACGTTCCGTGTTGCTGCAGTATTCCCAGGATCTCTTGTTTCGGGAGATCAAAGCCCAGTGCTTTCATGGCGACTTTCAGCTCGTGGTAGTCGATGTAGCCGTCCTTGTCTAGGTCGAAGAGGTTGAAGGCTTCGCCGATTTCCTCTCTTTGCTCTTCTGTGAGTTCGGCGAGGGAGGCGGCGCCGCTGGCCTCCATGCGCTGTGCTGTTTCGCGGGCGGAGCGCTCGCGTTCTAAGCGCTCAGACTCGATGCGTTGGGCGTTCTTGGGGTTGGGTGGAAAGGCGGGAGTGTTGCTGAAGGTGGCTTGTGGTTGTGCTTGTTGTGGTGGTGCAGTGCGACCAAGGCCGTAGCGGGGGCCGGGGCCGAGAGGATTGGAGGATGTAGCCATTAGAGTGTCTTTCGGGGTGGTTGAGCGATGTGGTGTTGCAGGGTTGGTGGGGTGCGCGAAGTAGTGTTGAGCGCGTTTTGGTGGGAGACAGATGGACTCGAGAAAGCTTCTGCCAATTCACGAGCGCTAGGATAGTAGCGTCTGTGGTCGCGTTAACACGGTCGTCGCTGTTGGTAACTCTCGGTTCGGAGGATACGAGGATGTGCAGTTGTTTGGGACGCGAGGCGCGTTTGGGCGTGGAAGCTTAGCTGCAGCTCTAGCGCGATTTTGGTTCTGGTGGGGAATTGTGATGGGTAGGGCTGAGAGCAGGGCTAGGAATACGATTACGATGTCTCCCATGCATTCAATAAGACTGACTGTTATTGCACTATCGCTATAGAGAATTTCGATTGCGTATCATCGTAGTCTTTCAACGAAGAGAACTCGTAGGACTTGCTTCCCCGACCTGTATCGGTAGACAGAAGACTGGGACAATTTCGCTGTATCTATTAAAACTGCCAATAAAACATCAGCCAAGGCCTTCCGTCTGCAGGCAATATGCGCGATGCACGCGGGCCACCAGACCTTCGTTTTGATCGGACTTCTGACTATCACATGATGAGTGACGTGGTAACGAGCGTCAGTCCAGGGAGCGTGGCTTGCAAACAGTCTCACCAGTCACAAAATCAACGTACTCTTTGTCTCACACACCTCGTTTTTCCTCAAGCCCGTAGTCATCCATCTATGGCTAGACCAGTCTTTTACCAGTAGAGCGACTCGAGTCGGCTGTGTAGGAGCGTTCTTGGTGGCGAAGTGCCCTCTAACCGCCAGGCAGCCGTAGGTAGCACCAGGTGTCTCTCAGGCATCTCTACACACAAGTCGCGCCCAAAAAACGTGTCGTATGATTCGTCAATCCCTATCTTGCTTTGTCATATGTGCAGCGGCCGCAACCGTATCAAGGAGCGTGTGCTGGGAAGTGGGTGCGGAAGAGATACACGTGACGCCCCGGCGATGGCTTAGCGCAATTTTGACGTGCCTTCCTCCTAAGTGCAACCTCACCTTTGCTTGTCCCTCCAAACTCTCGCGCCCGTCGCTCTTTCCCTTCCATGACGGCCATTTCACTACTTAATCAGAGCCGTGTCTGACCTCTTCTTACTAATTCCACTCTTTACTCTTTTGCTCGCTCGCAGCAAACCCCACCGCGCCTTGTCCGATCCGCCTATTCCTTGGCGCGTTTTCCGCGAAGCTCTCATCAACACCTGCCTCTCCGAGAGCTCCTGCACTTCGATTCTATCAACCACCACCCGTCCATACGACTGTACGGCGCATTGCTAGTCGCCTAGTAATCGATACACGCGCAACCCGTCGGACAAATTCAAAATGTCCTTCGGCGGTGGTTTCGGGGGCTTCGGCTCCAACAACAACAACCAGTCCACTGGCTTTGGTGGATTTGGTTCATCTAACAACAACACATCGACTGGTATGTACACACTCTTGCGTGAATTTCTGGATCCCTTTGCGCGCGACCGCTCCGATGTGCCCTGCGACATCGCCACGGCCTCCTCGACGAACCGTGTCTAACTTGCCCTCCGCCTCAGGCTTTGGCTCAAACGCGAATACCGGTACGAGCATATTCGGTGGCGGCGCAAACAACACGGGCAGCACAATGTTCGGGGGCGGTAACAACGCCAGCTCGAGCTCGCCTTTCGGGGGCTCAGGTATGTGGAACGATTGCGCTTCACTATCGCGTCGCTAGTTGGACCACTCTGCCTTGGTCGAAGTCGCTTTCAACGTCTTGTTGAGGTCGCCCACGACGACACGCTCCTAGGCGCTCTTTTGCGACGGCACTCAAATTTGCGCGGATCCATGATTTTTAGTTTACCCCGATCTGGAACTAACTTTTACCTTCAGGTGGCTTCGGTGCCAGCAACACAAACAACAACGCTTTCGGCTCGAAACCCTTTGGCGCTTCGACAACGGGCGGTGGCCTCTTTGGCGGCGGCGGCGGCGCTACAGGTGGCAGCACGTTTGGTGGCTTTGGATCAACGAACAACAACACTACTACCTCAGCCTTCGGGTCCAGCACTGCAAACACTGGAGGCGGTCTCTTTGGCCAGAGCAAGCCGGCGACGGGCTTCGGCGCGTCGACAACAACTGGTGGAGGTCTGTTTGGAGGCGGCAGCACCGGCGGTGCATTCGGTTCTACCAGCACGAACACCACAACCGGTGGCTTCGGTAGCGGCACTGGCAGCGCTTTTGGCGGAGGCAACAACCCACCACCCAACAATGGAACCGCCAACACTCCGTTCCAGCCATTCCAGGAGAAGGACGGTACAGGCAATGCCCAATCGCAGTACCAGACCATCACCTTCCAGCAACCGTACACGAACTACTCCCTCGAGGAGTTGCGCGTAGCCGACTACAACCAGGGCAGGCGGTATGGTAACCAAAATGGACAAGCTGGAGCGTTCGGACAGAGCACCGGCTTTGGCGGTTTTGGTGCTAACAACAACACCACCACCCCCGCATCTACAGGCTTTGGCGCATCCAACAACACTGGTGGAAGTCTCTTCGGTGGTGGTAACACAAACACTGCTGCTACAGGAGGATTCGGTCAGAGCACAGGTTCCGCGTTCGGGGCGAACAACAACACCTCTGGCGGAGGACTCTTCGGCCAGGCCAAGCCTGCAACTGGCGGGCTTTTTGGCTCGAACAACAACACCACAACTGGTACTACTGGTGGTCTGTTCGGAGGTGGTGCTGCTGCAACGAACAACACCACAGGTGGATTTGGCTCTGGAGGTGGAGGCTTCGGCTCATCTACGACTGGTGGTGGCGGTCTGTTTGGTCAGAACAAGCCTGCTACAGGCGGTGGTCTTTTCGGAGGCGGTGCCGCGACCACCAACACCTCAACACCATTCGGAGGTGGTGCAACTAACACCGGCAGCGCATTCGGCCAGTCAAACACTGGTGGTGGTGGTCTCTTCGGTCAAAACAACAACCAGACGTCCTCTACCCCAGCCTTCGGTGCCAACAACACATCGACAAACACTGGTGGTGGTCTCTTTGGCGGTGGCGGCGCTACAGGTGGAGGCTTCGGGCAAAACAACACATCCACGACTCAAAACACGACCTCTGGCGGTCTATTTGGCGGTGGTGGTGGATTTGGCCAAAACAACAACAACCAACAAAAGCCTGGTGGCCTCTTTGGCGGCGCAAGCACTGGTACCGGTACCACAGGTGGCGGCCTCTTCGGCGGAGCAAACCAGAGTCAGCCGGCTACTGGCGGTCTGTTCGGTGGCTCTACTGCCAACAACACAAACAACAATACTGGAGGCGGCTTGTTTGGCCAGAAGCCTGCTACTGGCGGTGGTTCCCTGTTTGGCGGCGGCAACAACACCAACACTGGAGCGACTGGCGGAGGCTTATTCGGTGGCCTTGGTAACAACAACAACCAGCAAAACACAGGAAGTGGTGGTCTCTTCGGCGGTGGCCAGAACAACAACCAACAGAAGCCTGGCGGCCTGTTTGGCGGCTCCACGAACAACAGCACTGGAGGCGGTCTCTTCGGTGGTGGACTTGGCCAATCGAACAACGGCCAATCGAACATGGGCAGCTCTATGCTCTTCCCGCAACAACAGCAGCAGCAGCAACCTAGCCTCAACAACAGCCTGTTCGGTGCCTCTGGAAGCTCTTTGTTGAACACATCCATGAACACCAACCCCTACGGCAACGACGCCCTCTTCGCTGGTCTTTCTACTCCAACTCAGAGCCCTGGCCCGCTTGCCACGCCCTTGTCCAGCAGCCAGAAGAACAAGAAGAACGCCATCCTGCCTCAGCACAAGCTCAACCCCGCCGCATCGACGCGCCTACTTACTCCGCAGAATAAGAGCCGCGGTTACGGATTCAGTTACTCCACATACGGCAGTCCAGCTGGCGGAGCAAGCCAAAACGGCGGCCAAGCCCTTGGTGGTAGCCTCTTTGCAGGCAGCCTTTCACGATCCCTGGGCAAGAGCTTGTCTACGAGTAATCTTCGCAACAGCTTCACTCCCGAAACCAGTATACTGGCACCGGGTGCGTTCTCTAACACTGGACGCAACTTCGGCAACGGCAGTCTCAAGCGACTCAACATCAACCGTAACATCACCAACAGGGCGCCATTGTTTGATGAGCCCGCGCAGAAGCGTGTCAGCTTTGTGGGTGGTGACAGCCCGAACGGAGAGACCAACGGAGAGACCGCACTGGTCGTTCGACAAGACGAGGAAGATGCCTCACCCCGGGCTAACGGCAACAACGCTGGTAACGAAGCGCCTCGCCCGGCCATGCAGCAGGTCAATGGAAATGAACTTGCCCGCGTGTCCGAGGACCATGTGCTCTCATCCAAGTCTGACGCATCCGTCAACATCCAACCTGGACAGGACCCCAAGCCAGGAGAGTACTGGTCTAGCCCCTCAATGGATCAGCTGAAGAAGATGAGCAAGCAGGAGCTCAGGAGCGTACCCGACTTCATCGTCGGTCGCCACAACATCGGACAGATTAAATTCCACCACGGCAAGCCTGTTGATCTGTCTGAAGTTGATCTCGATAAGCTGTTCGGTGACATTGTCCAGCTCAGTGCACGCAATGCTACCGTGTATGGAGAGAGCTGCACTTGTCTGCCAAAGCCACCGCTAGGCACTGCTCTGAACCAGCCTTCCGAGATTGTTCTTGCTAACTCCTGGCCTCGCAACAGGGCCGGCAAGAAGGATGTCAAGCATCTCGAGCGTCTCAAGCGTGTGGCCGGAACCACCTTCATCGCGTATAACCAGTCTACTGGCGAATGGACCTTCTCCGTCCCTCACTTCTCATCCTACGGTCTTGACTACGACGACTACAGCGACGAAGAAGATGACGATGCGTCAAGCGATCTCAGCGATGTTCCTGACACCCCAGCTGGCCAGCAACACCGCTCGAGCCAGATGACAAGCACACCCCAAGATGACTCTTTCGACAGCCCTACTCAGACCCAGTCTAGCCCTGACGACACCTTTGACTTCAAGAAGGGAATGCGTGGTAGTCGCGCTAGCGTGCCTGGTGGCTTCGGTGACGACTCGGCGTATATGGACGAGGAAGAGATGGACGACGCACAGGGCCAGTCTTTTTTAGGGCGGCGCTCCGTGGGTTCGCTTGATGGGCAGCAGGATGCTGACTACGATGAAGAAAGCGAATCGGAATTGGCACACGACCAGAACATGGCGGATTCTGTATCGGGACCAATTCGCACCACGGAGCAAGACACCGCTAAGGAAGACCCCTTCAGGAGCACACTGAAGCCGAAGTCTATCTTGAAGGCTAGTCAGCTCATGAAGCCCGGAACAGGGACACCTTCGAAAGCGCAGCCGGTATTCGATGACGATTGGGCAAACCAGCTCCAGCGCACGATTAGTCCAAAGAAGCAGGATCGATATGCTCTTCGCGAAAGCCAGGGCAACGTACTACGAGAACACGAAGCACACCCTACGAACTTCTCGCAATCCTTCGGCGCACGACAGATGACTACTGCAATGGATTTGATGGATTCTCTATTCGGAGAAGCGGAGAAGCAACAGTTTCCCAAGCATGGTGGACATGGTATTGAGGTTTGACTTCCCCTCCCTTTTGGCGTTTGTATTAATGGGGCGCGGTCTGTGGCGGGTTTCCTACGTGGTTCTCCTTCATAGATTGACGCTTGGACCTTACGTCCGCCCGTGTATGTAGTCACAAATTGATACGGGACAAGATTGCTGAAACTCTTGTCTCTAGTTACCCTATTCCAAGCGACCCAAAACCGCCTCCGATCTCGACGAGCTTGCCGATGCCGACAAAGAATTCCACGGCTGCAGCAAACCCCATTTCAGCGAAACGAACGTCCTGATCTACGGCAACAAAGGCCCCTCGCACCTCGAAGGCGGCGTCTTTCCTACGGCTCAAGAACCGCTCGTCGATGCTACGAAGGATATGCGTTTCGTCAAGATGCCCACCTTCACCGATGTAAGTTGTAGCGTTTAGCCGTTGTGATAGTATTAATGCTGACTGGTTTTAGTCTGCGCCTGAAACCTTGTCGCTTCAGAAACAACATACCAAGATTGTCACATCCGATGGTGTACCTTCAGCAAAGCTCTTGACTGACCCTGCTCCGGTCGAGTTCTCCAGTATGGCAAAGGCCGTCGCGCTCGACACTCCAGCTGGCGTTCACGAGCAGCAAGCTTGGCAATTGCTTTCCCTTTTGTTCGACGACGCCGATCGTATCCCAGCGGACGTGCACGAAGAGAACATCAACGTCTACCGGAAGGAGAAGTTGTCGGAATTCTGGAAGCTTCTCGTTTGGGACGATGCGCAGAAGCATGCCCAGCAAGCAGCTTCGGCCGAAGAGCGCGCGATCGCCCACCTCAGCTGCAACAACGTCGCTGATGCTTGTCATACATTGTTGGACGGACTCGACCTACGACTGGCCACGATGGTCGCTCAGATCGGTGGTGACGAGACTATGCGCCAGAGCATGGTAGCCCAGCTTGATGAATGGCGTCGTCTGGATGTGCTTTCCGAGATGGAGGATCCCCAGCGTGCGATCTACGAGCTTCTCTCTGGCAACTGTACCAAGTCAGAAGGCAAAGTGGGGGCTGGCCGGGAGAACCGGGCTTCTACATTCAACATCTCAAGTCGATTTGCTCTTGATTGGCGACGGGCTTTTGGACTTCGTCTGTGGTACGGCACAATGATCGACGAGCCTATCGAGATGGCTATTGCGCAGTTTGCGGACGCTGTTCGAGACGGTAATGAAGATGTCAAGCCGGTGCCCTGGTTCATCCAAGACAAAGCCGACATGGGCTGGAACGACCCGGATGCTGAGCACCGAGAAGATCTGCTCTGGGGCATTCTCAAGCTCTATGCGGCAGAGAAGATGGGACTTCCCGCCAATATTGAGGATGTTCTTGCGCCAGAGAACGTATCCGGCAATCCTTTCAACGCTCGTCTCTCGTTCCAGTTGTTCCAGCTCTTCAAGTCTCGACAAGATGATGAGACCGAAGCGGATGAGCGCAAGGTCGCTATGCCTACCTCTCGCGGCCAGGATGAAGACGATGGCATGTTCCGCCATTCGCTCCAGTCATGGTCCGCCCCAGGTGCTGCAGACGATGTGCAAGCCGCGAACCCGCTTGTCGAGCTGAGTGATAAGATCACGCTCACATATGCTGCCTCGCTACATACACCAGAGCACTGGACCACTGCTATCTGGGTGTACGCACATCTGTCATCTCCAGCAATGCGAGAGCACTACATGCGCTCGCTCGTCAACCAGTTCTCGAGCTCATACTCCTTGCAGGAGGGTGATGCCACCTACGATTACCTCACGAGCGACCTCAAAGTTCCTGCGACATGGCTCCACGGTGCCGCTGCATTGCAAGCGAAGTCAGGTGGCGACGCCCTACGTGAGGCGACGCATCTCATCAAAGCCGAGGAGCTCGAGGAGGCGCACGAAGTGCTGTGCCGCAAGGTTGGCCCAGAAGCTATCGTCTCTCGCGACTACGATGCGCTCCGTGAGCTCATGGGTGGCTTTGTTTCCAAGTCGCCATCCGCGCGCCCGAAGGAAACACTTCAAGGCTGGGCTCAAGGTGGTCAGATCTACTTTGACTACATTGAGTTGATTGATACGACTGGCCAACGCTCCAACTACCGCGTCGACGAAGAGCTGGACAATCGTGTTCAGGAGCTTCTTACCAAGCTACAGCGTGCATTGGAGATTGCTGGACGCGACAGGTTGAGCACCTGCGGTCTGGAGGAGCGTGTGGCGCTCATGGAAATCGCTGGCACTGTCGCCAACCTTATCTCAAAGACACAGGTATGTCACATATGCTCTCTCGACCTCGAACATCTGAAGCTAACATGTACTCAGCGAACCAACCGCAACGCCATTCTCAAACTCCCCCTGACCGAAGACTCGTGGCTTAAGCACACAATCGACCTTAGCACAAGCTACTACCACAATGTCATGGTCACCAGTCGGTAGAACCAGAGGATCATTGACTTACGCATTCTCCTGAAGAAGGACGAACTCGGTACGAGAGAGTGCTCAATCAAGAATGACATCAACTGTGGAGGGAAGGCGTGCATTGGATGCAGCCTTGATCGTTTTATGGGAAGCCCACAAGGACTAAGGAGATGAAGTATTGAGTGTTAGTTGAAACGACTTTGTCCGAACGAAGCATGCAATTGAGGTTTATCGGTTAGACTAGGGAGGAAAAGCAACTTCGATTCGACATGTGTATAATAGATATTCTGCTTGGAACCTCGTTTAATGCATTGCTTATGGTACTTTTTGGTGTCTCGACTAATACTGGCTATGTGTGTTTTCAGAATCGGCTTAACAATGTATGTCTTTTACTCACGTCGTGTCATATCGTCAATCCTTCGGACTGTACCATCGAAAGTATCAACATCAAATTTTGGTGCCTCACGTCCAAGATCGTGAAGAGCAGTCTCACACCTTGGAATTATCCCTCCACTTCCTCTGCCAGTCATGAGAATCTCGGCTCCACGTTTTGTTCTTGTTTCCTTTGTGGGGTGATGGTGTATGATAAGGTTTATGTTGCAGGAAAGACGTGCATCTATATCGTAGGTCTCATTGCACAAGCCCTGCTCGTGTGTACTGTACAGTGAGCCGCAAACACATGTCTTTTCTTGTTTGTTTTTTGTACTTTAGAAACAGGACGAGCTATTGCTCATGGAGCGCTCTCAAAGATGCTGCCCATGTGAACATCGCCAGATGGTTTTCGAGCAACTGAAATTAGCCCCAGCACATACGCCCAGTCTCTTGTGTTTTTGATCAAGGTGAAATTGACAGACATCGTCGTTCAAGCATATGATTTTGGAGATAATGGAACGATGTGATGGAGGAGAGGGAGTGGTATACACAGGATATTTATATACCGCCCTGATTAACCAATGTCCAACAGAGATGACGTCGCGACACTGACGTATACATCGGCCAGTATGTGTCGTACTACAAAACCATGAATAATGCCGTATACTAGCTTTAACCAAGTAATTATACCACATCTACAAGCTTCTGAGGTTCGTTCTTTCTCCTCCGTATCTATTCAAAAACTTGTCTTCAAAAGCTCTACAATGACTGGTGTATGCTGCGCCCTCTCGCAGCTTCCTGAAAGAAGTACCAGGCCTAAGCATGTGGACTGTCTTTTTTGCTTCTATGAACTCTACTCGAAATTATAAGAAAAAAGTTCATATCTCAGTCATAGGTTGCGTGCGTTCAAAACCCAAATCGATCAAATTGCGTCCTCATGACGATTGGAAGAATTCTCAATTGTCATGGGAAAATGGAACTTGAACTGTATTAGGCCGTCCCTGGAAGGTTTCCCACTCGCATCTTTACGGATATATAAAGAAAACTCTGGTTCGATCACTCTGTGCATCACGTTCCCTCGAAAGTCCTGAATTATTTCCAAAAAGAAGGTAAACGCTACGAATGGAGAAGGGCTCGGCGTCTGCGGGCACCGAAAGATGCAATCCTACTAAACATGACTCTGCCGAGTTGCTCCTCCCTCATTTACTCCTACACGCACCAAAACGCTAGGACTATACTACGATGATCTGAGTAGTTCCATTTCAAAAGTAACACACGCACTCACATCTTTCGTGAGACTGCGACACAAAATCAAAAGTTCTAAACGCACGTTCTATGAGATCGTGCTTCCTTTCTCGAAAAGGGCGTCTGACAAAAGGCTCTTTGCAGTCTCATCATCTGAGACGAGGAGTATTATATCATTTGGATATGACCATCTCTGACGATTCCCAAAAACCAAGTCAGCTTGGAGATTTGAGCAGAGCTGTCCTTCCGTCTGCCTTCTGATAGCATTGCACCATCCATTACATGTTTGGAACGCCAGATGGGCTCGACATACTATCCGTGAGACAGTATATAAATACCTTCTCAGGGTGTACCTCCATCCGTTCTTCACTACATCTAAAAGCCAATTCCTTCCAAAAGATTTGGGCCATTTAAGGATGGCGCTAGCTTCCTCGCGCTTTTGAAAACCCAAAAACGAAAATGGCATGGGAAATGCTTCTGCGACTTCTTCGCATTGTCGAACGAAAACAAAAAAACCACATCTTGCATGCATGTTCTGTTCGAGAACCTGCTTCCCAGATATTAAAGCATGCATCTATGTTTGAAACTTTTCAAAATTGTTGATCTCACTCTCATGTGGGCACGAGTTCCCAGGACCTTCACTACTGTGACTTATAATCTGAAAGCTATCAACAGGCCCTTAGCAGATCCGAGTACCTCTAACGAGACATGACACGACCTCTCAACATTGCTCTAAGATGTGCACTGTTCATGTCACGGAGATCTCTCGATAATTTAAATGCTACTGTAAAAGTTGTGGTATAAATATACAAGTCCGTCAGATACTATATACAATGACGATACCTAGACTCATGTCTGCGGAGTTGCGGCTTGCCCCTGCTGCGCAGACGCAGTGGTACCATCTCTCGGCGGGCCTTGTGGACGCCCGCCTCTTGCGGCACCACGACCACCGCGGCCAATTCTGCCACGGCCGCCTCTGCCTGCGCTATCGGGGCCAGATGGGCGACCACCGCCATCTTGTTTCTGGCCCGCTTTAGGTAGTGGGTTTGGCTTGGCGACCGGTCCAGCGCTGACGTCGCGTTTGCCTTTGCCGCGGTCGGCTTCGTCTCCGCCTTCTTTCTTGTCTTGACCCTTTGTCTTGCCGCCGCGCCCACCACGACCTTTGCCTCGACCGCGACCAGAAGTTTTGGAAAGCTTTTCCACCAACTTCTTGGTCTGCTCCTCTTCCTCGATAACACGTCTGCTCTCCTGCTCCCACCACAGCTGGAACTCTTGCTCTTGCTGAATTTCCTGCAGACTGCGCTTGGCTGCTGCATCGCGTATTGAAGTCTTCTCTGCTTCTTGCAAGGACAAAATCTCCATCATGCTGAGATGCTGACTTGGGGACGTTGGCGAGTGCTGTGGCAAGGGAATGTGGCGGACAGATCGAGGCGTTGGGATAGGATCAGTAGAGACTGACATGCCTCTCTCATTCGCAGCAGGACGAGCTTGGGAAGGCGACGCAGCTCCTGCATCATGACTTTGGGACGCCGTCCGCTTGTCCTTCTGCTTCGATCCAGCACCCTTCTTTGCAACAGTTTGTCGCATAGTAAGTTGAGGCGTACTTGATGCTCGGGAAGGCTCAGGCGATGGCTTCAGCGGCGGCGAGCGAGCCACTGCTGGAGCAACAACCGGACTGTTGCTTGGTTTCCTATGTGCAGCTGCTGTCCACGGGGATACGGCTGGCGGCACCGGTTGGGGCTTCTCGATGGCTGTGCCGAGCTTTTGGGCTTGTCGTAGGCGATTCTTTTCCTTTTGCGACATCTTGATAGGCGCAGCCTTGACAGTTCGCTCACTCTCGCTCCGTGAGAGGCCGATCGACAAGTTTGATGGCGTAGCTGAGGACTCTTGAGCCATAATATCCTTGAGTTCAAGCTTGGGACCAGCAAGCGGTGCGGTCACCCAAGGCTGACCAGGTGGCCTTGCCTCCTTGATAGCTGGCGGAGGAAGAGGGCTGACGGACTTGAACGGTATGTCACCCCCTTTGTTGAACGTGTGCGGTGATGGTTTTGGGATCGTGCCCCAGGGCGTCTCGGGAGATCCAACTGGTGTCTCTAGCGCTTTCTCATCTCCGCTTTGCTCTGTGAATCGCGGGGGCTTGATCTTCTTTGGCACGTCCTCGTCGTCCTCGCCATCTGACATTTCGAACATGAGATCTTGGGCGGAGTTTTTACCTTTCAGCGCTGGCGACATTACTGGACTCTTTGCTTCTTTGGATACCCTTCTTCGATTCCGTTGGCGTAATGGGGAAGCTGCTACTTCTTCCAGACTTTGAGCTCTGAAAGAGGATGAGAGGTTGTCGCCGTCCGCGTACTTGTTCGACAGTACTATCGCATCGACCTTGGCGCGCCTGCCACGTTCTATCCTCTCAGCAAGCTCTGGGTAGCGCTCGAAGAGGAGAGCCTCAGCTCGCCCACTTCTTGCAAAAGGCAAGTAAGCGAGTTGATTCTCATGGGCGACTTGATTGAGCTCCAGCAGCAGGTCCTCGTCCAGTTCGTCTAGTGAGCCGTTCTGCATGACTGCCTCCAAACTCAGACATACGTATTCAAGGGCTGCGTCCTTGAACTCAGCGACCGAACTGGGAGCAACTGCTGTAAGAAGGGAGCAAACGTTTCGAGCGTTGACTATCGTCTAATTAGCGAATGCACGATAACATCAAATATGTATACATACCATAGCGACCGATCAGTCTTTGACAGATCTGCGACAGACGGTCTAGCATCAATTCATTGGCGACAGACATGACATCCATGACATGGTCGAGCAACTCGTCAAGTGCCAGCAAATCATTCAGGTCTTCGCTGGTAACATCCTCGAAAATCTCCTCACCAGCATCGGTGTAGAGATGGCGAACAATGAGCTCGAAAAGCTGCGTTTCCACATGCGTCAAATCAATGTGGACGAGCGGAGATTCCTCAGTCCGCCTTCCCGCGAGCCACTGACCGCCAGCACGTCCTCGGAACAAGCTTTCGAAGAAAGGACAGCGCTGGCAGATTACGTCCGAGTGTAGCAGCATCTGGCCATCAGCAAGGTCGACGATGACGTCGCCACTCTCGAAGAAAGACTGCTCCTTGATAGCGAGTTCCATATCCATGTGTAAGGATCTCCGTGGCTTGACCATCTGACGTACAGCAGGCTCGAGCTGTCGCATTTCGAGACGGGAAGCAATCTTCATCAATTCTGTCCGTACGGAACGGTACCTGTGTGCCAAGGTAGGGTAGTGCCGGGTGACGTTCCAGAAGTCCACAACAGAGTCGGTGTAGGCGTAGAGAACGAGGTTGAAGATGGTGAGGAAATCAAGACCTTGGAAGAGTACCAGAACTCTCCCACCCTCTGCCTTGACGGTCAGGAGGTCAGGCACG